TTTTACACACAGACACTTTTACACACAAACGCTTTCACAGACAGACGCTTTTACACACAAACACTTTTCACGCACAGAGGCTTTTACACACAGAAGCTTTTACACACAAACACTTTCACATACAGAGACCGAAAATCGCAATTTTACCTCCATTTTTGACGTCCAACATCCATTTCGTGCGAAAGGGTTGCGGTGGACAAAGTAAAATCGCAATTTTACCTCAGTTTTTGACGTCCAACGTCCATTTCGTGCGAAAAGGTTGCGATGGATACTTCAAAGTCGCAATTTACCTCAGTTTTTGACGTCCAACGTCCATTTCGTGCGAAAAGGTTGCGATGGACAAAGTAAAATCGCAATTTTACCTCAGTTTTTGACGTCCAACGTCCATTTCGTGCGAAAAGGTTGCGATGGACAAAGTAAAATCAGAATTTTACCTCAGTTTTTGACGTCCAACGTCCATTTCGTGCGAAAGGGTTGCGCGGGACGCTTCAAAATCGCAATTTTACCTAGGTTTTGGACGTCCAACGTCCATTTCGTGCGAAAAGGTTGCGTTTCGTGGCGCTCCGGCGGCACCGCCCCCGCCTTAAGAGAGAGAGAGACATAGAAAGAAGAGCGAGAGAAGATGTGAAGGTGCGAGGAAGCAGATCTGCAGATGCGAAGGTGTGAAGATGTAGATCTGCAGATGTCAGGGTGTGAAGATGTAGATCAGCAGATGTGAGGGTATGAAGATGTAGATCAGCAGATGTGAAGGTGTGAAGATGTAGATCTGCAGATGTGACGGTGTGAAGATGTAGATCCACAGAGGTGAAGGTGTGAAGATGTAGATCTGCAGATGTGAAGGTGTGAAGCTGTAGATCAGCAGGATGTGAAGGTGTGAAGATGTAGATCAGTAGATGTGATTGTGTGAAGATGTAGATCAGCAGATGTGAAGGTGTGAAGATGTAGATCAGCAGATGTGAAGGTGTGAAGATGTAGATCAGCAGATGTGAGGGTGTGAAGATGTAGATCAGCAGATGTGAGGGAAGATGTAGATCAGCAGATGTGAGGGTGTGAAGATGTAGATCAGCAGATGTGAAGGTGTGACGATGTAGATCAGCAGATGTGAGGGTGTGAAGATGTAGATCAGCAGATGTGAAGGTGTGAAGATGTAGATCAGCAGATGTGAGGGTGTGAAGATGTAGATCAGCAGATGTGAAGGTGTGAAGATGTAGATCAGCAGATGTGAGGGTGTGAAGATGTAGATCAGCAGATGTGAGGGTGTGAAGATGCATGTATTATAACGGCTGCTTTTTTACGAAGAACCCTTCGCAGGCGCTCTCGGGAAAATTATTAACTTTCTATTTCAAAATCGATTAGATTTCCTTTTAAAATTAAAAAAATCCAAAAATTGGATTTCGAAGCTTTCCCTAATACCACATTTAAAACCCTAATATTAAAAAATATTAAGTTTCTATTTCAAAATCGATTACAGTAAATTTCCTTTCAAAAACTAACGAAACTATTGCCAAAAATTGGATTTCGAAGCTTTCCCCTAATAATAAATTAAACACCCTAATATAAACAACTATTTTTTTCTATTTCACAATCTATTAGGTCCTTTTAAAATATTTTAAAATCTAATTAAAATATATTAAAATATTGCCGCAAATTGGATTTCCAAGCCTTCCCGTAATATTAAACTAAACACCTTAATATACAATACTTTTTTCTTCGACCTTAAAAACGGACCCTAATAAAAAAACACCACACGGTTGACTAGTTTTTATTATTAGGGGAAGAAACCCTGAAATGGTAGTTTCATTTTTAAATTGTTTTCTAAAGGGGATCAATTAAAAATCAAATTGACCAAATTTTCCAAAATTGGAAACGGACCCTAGTTTCTAGAAATAGGGGGAAGGGATTAGTCCAAATGATTGTGCCTAAAACACGTCTTTTTGGGCACAGCTAGGCCAAACAAGGCAACTTTTCAATGTATGATGATGTATGTAACGGCACTAATGGCACTTGTCTTTCTCTGTCAGCAGTCCTACTAGTTTCGTCACTGCCTGATTCAAAATTTAGGACCACGTATTGTGAAAACATGTGTCTAGCTTTGACCTCGATGGAACATAACAACAACATGGAGTAACAATAAATGACATGTCTGCTGCTCTCTTGACGGGGACACCTCGATATATATATATATACACACATATATATATATATTATATATATATTATAGATATATTATATATATATTATATATAATACATATATAATGAGAAGGAACCTGAGTAATTATCGAGGTATATCAAAAATCTGTAAAGGCAGTCCAGAACACAAGAAAACAGTCGGTACATGACAGGTGAATGCAGTCATTCAATGCACTTATAAACATCTTGACTGCAAAATCTTCGACTTGGCATCTCTTTCCTATAAAACCAAAAAGAGTCAAACAATTTCAATCGAATTTTTGCATTCAAGATCACGCAAGGCATTCCAATGCCGAGCTGCTGCTGCTAGGCACCTCTTGTTGAAGTTCATCATCTTTCAGCACTTGCTTTAACCTGTGAATATTCGAGCTGTATGACACTCATCCTGAACTGGTCCTCAACTCCTGGATTCATTCTGTGTTCTGACGTCAGTGGGGGGGTTGCAAGGACAATACGGGACAATACAATGACAATACTGTATTTCATTAACTGATGGAAATTTAAGAGTCAAACTTCCGACAACATGGACAGATGAATGTGGAAAGAGTCAGCGAAGAGAAAAGGCAGAAGAAAGAAGATAAGAGAAGAGAAAGAGTCAGAAGAAAGAAGATCAGAGAAGAGAAAGAGTCAGAAGAAAAACGATGCAAGTTCCGGAAAAGGTAGAAGAAAAGTCGCGAAAAATTGAGCTTTTCCAAAGATTTGTGGGACCAGAGGGTCGAAAAGGAGGCTCGCTAAAGCGGCGGGTGCGGAACCATCTGGGGAGATGAGAGGTGAAAAATT